ATGTGGTAAACTCGACCAATTTTGATTTAAAAGGGTTAAAAGCGTTCTTAGCCAGGGCTGCTTGAGGGATGAGACTAACACTTGAAACTTTTGTCCAGTTGATCACTACTTATGTGTGACTTTCTGTGCTGTCCCATGGCAAATGTGCATAAAACATAAAGGAAACTGGGTGCTACAGGAATAACTTATGTTTCTTTATATTTTATATAATATATACTTTACATCAGCGGCCTTAGCTATGTTTCACCTGTTTCAATTGAAACAGGCCCTGCCCTTCATAGGGCGTGCAACTCACGTGCAAGAACTCAAGCGACATGGACACAGGAAGTGGGGGTGTGACCCCCTCGGCACCCCTAAAAACAGGCATTATGAAAACCATCAATTGATAAAAGAGAGAGGGAGAGAGAAAGCTAATGGGGATGAGCGAGAGAATATAGACAGAAGTGAGGATCTGATATAAAAATTTTCTTTGATCATGAAGCCTAATGTTACTCTACAGTTCTGTAGTTCATCAGTGAAGTGTATGAACTACACTGCAGACTGGAGTCTCTGTTAAAAGTGTCCAGTCGTTTCCTCTGTGAAATGTCTGTATCCTCACTGCGCTGCATTGTTGTAAACTATGATGAACTGCTCTCTCGTCCAGGCGCTGCCTCTCCCTCATGCATTAGTTCCTGTTGTTGACTGTGTAGTTGCCATGGCTGCTTTGACACAGGCCTACAGTATGTTTGTGTATTAATAACTATTAGATATAAGTTGCCCTGGCCATTTAAATTAATACGAAAACGTGAATACCGAACACAATTTAGTGTGATGTCATCATAGACCGACCTGCTCTCTGCACCGCAAAATGATTCTTTATTAATCCAATACTCTTTTCTCAGCAGGAGGGAAAAGTGTAAAGTACATGTTATTGTTAGTTCTTTCATTATTGGGTATTTTTAGATCACTGTACAATATGTAGTACATTTCAGGATCACATTAAATATGAGAACAATCAAAGCACTGTAGCATACAGCTTTTTATCTTCTTCTTTTTTTTGCAGCTGGACAAACTTATAAACTGGTGTATAATAAATCTTATCTCACAAAGCCTACAGAATCAGAGAGTCAGTCTACCCCCTGCTGATTATGCATGTATGAATTTCTATTGTAGGCAGATGCAGGTTATTGGAGATATCAGGAATACAGGGAGAGCCATTTGTCATGGTTTTAGAAACAGCAGGGGGTCCGACAGCAAGTGACTCTTGCAATGATTCTGCTTGTCTGGTATGAAACTTCAATTCTTCGGCTTCCTTATCTGTTAGATAACATATATCAAAGTAAGACAGGAAAGAGAGGGCATGAACTGCAACAAATGATTCTAAGGTTCTTAGAACACAGTGAGAACACAAATTACACATTCGAGAGCACAAATTTGTTTTGTTAGTTATAACAGATAAGTCAGTTAAAAATATTGTTTGTTCGCTCAAGACACTGACATGGGTCCTGTCCCTTATTATAAGACACAATATGTATGGATGTGAAAAGAATCCACACACTCCAATCTAAGCAATATTCATCCAATGATTTATTTTAAATAAGTTGATTAATGTATCAATAAATTAACATTTCACATGTGTTTGTATGTCTTAAGGATCTTGTAGGCCCAGTACTTGAGGCTTGATTTAATGGAGGCTATTTCACAAGATGAGTGACTTGATTGTCTGCCTGCAATTCATCATCATTAATGAACGGGAGGATGACGGCATTGCCTTGTTGAGGCGAAGTATGAATGAACAGGAGCCCAGCGATGATGATGATAACATGGCCATTGTTGATGACAATGTTGACAATGGTTGATGAAGTTCAAGTTGAAGAAGCTGCTGATGAGCCTCAAGTTGACATAGAAGTCAACCAACTCACACACTCACATAAGTGACACGTTTACTAACAGATAGTTGACTGGAACTCCAGTGAGATTTTTGGATGACTCCAACATCTGATTCTTCTCTTTCAAAGTCTTCACATAGAACAGATTTACATTGTTTAGCTTTGACAAACAAAATAATGGCATAAACTTGCTGCTGGATAAAGTACCCTCTCTCTTCAGGCCTCCCTCCACAGCCAAAACACATTTTCATGCGCAGTGAGTGCACGGGCAGACTGCATGCAGGTAAGCAGGTAGGTAGGTAGGTAGGTAGGTAGATAGGCCAGCCAATTATTTCATTGGGACTGAATTAAATGATTGGTCATGCTTACAGTCTTGCGACAGCCACAGATACTGGATTTTTTAAATGTGTCAGAGTATTTGATTTATTGATTGCTGTCATGATGTAAAGAGAATTTCAACAAATAAAACAAGGAATGCTGTGAGTATGTATGCTGATGTAACGTTTAGCATACTTCATCTTTAAGTATTTTAATAGTATAGCTCAATTCAATTAATCAGTGATTTGCTTATTTGAGAAGAGTGTTGAATTGCTCAAAATTTTTTGTTAGATCTGGTAACTTCGAAATGGAGAACCTGAAATGAGTTCCAAGAAAATGACCTTCTGAGAAAAGGTTTGCTGACAGAAAGAGAGGGAGTTTGTTTGCATTCCCACATAGAGTTTATATCATCGGCGTGCCACGCAGCACAGCCCTGCTCTCTAGGATTGTGTGTGTGCGTGTGTGTGTGTGTGTGTGTGTGTGTGTGTGTGTGTGTGTAGTGTTTCTGTCAGTGTGTGTGAGAATAATGAATCATTCTCTCTAGGACTTGGGGTGAGTCTCTGACAGCAAAGTGAAACCATTAGACCTGACAAGGACATTTCATTCACAAAATTCAATATAGTTTACTTTTCTGAGCAACAAACTTCTATTCCCCCAATTATGGGAAACATGTTTACAAAAAAGTAATAACATAATCTACTTCATTCATTTTGTCTGGCTTTTTTAAAGTTTATGTCTTGTAGTGATTAATTTTAACTGTTTGTGGTAGGCTGACCCCACAGAAAGAATAGATAAACGACAGTGCTGAGTAAGCCTTGTCAAAATCCTCTACAGAAATTCACTTCTATTTCAGTCTAGTTTGTTCCATTTTGAAGATCACCACTGTTGTCTGTTAGTATAAGTGTAACCCATGTGTGCATTTGTTCTGTTCTTCGATACTCATGTTTTGAGTAAACCCGTACTGTAATTTAAAGAAATAATTTGACATTTTGGGAAATACGCTTGTTCACTCTCATCCCCTTCAATATAAAGCTACAGCTGGCAGCCAGTTAGCGTAGCATAAAGACTGGAAACAAGGACAAACACCTCTAAAGCTCATTAATTAACGTGTTCGAGGTGCTTGTATTCACATATTGTAACCTTCAAACAGAGATGGGTTTGGAGTTTCCTCCTTTTTCCAGTCATTATGCTAAGCTAAGCATAGTTTAATTATTAAAAGGAGAAGTACATTATTTGGACAGTAAAATAAGTACTCATTAGAGGAAGCATAAAAAAAATATTTTGTGCTCGTCCAAACTAAACAAAATATCAGGTGAATTGCGTCCATACAAGAATAAGTCTCCCTTAACTACCAGCCTACAACAACACAGCTGCAACAGCAAAATCCAGCCAGTCCATTCCTGTGGTGTCAGGGTCCAGGGGGTGTCAAGAGAGCTGACCCCCAACACACAGCAAATAAAACTGATTTACTGCTGCTTCGCTGGCTGCACCGCACTTTATAAAACTGTCCAGGGCAGAGTTATGACCCCGGGTAAAATATACATTGACACACGTTCACAGGGACATACACACACATATGCAGATGCATACATCCAACGCACAAACAGACAGACACACACACACACACACACACACTTAAAGATGGATGGGAAATTTGATCAGAAGTAGACCCATGGTTGTACATGCAAGCAGACACTTTTACTTATTTTTTATTTAACACAGACAACCCTTTTAAGAGAAAAGAGATAGGGTACTCATAATATGACAACCATAATATGACCACGAGCATGACTTAAAAACGTGAGCCTAAGTTGATCTTAGGGTTTGTTTTCAACCTTTCCAGAAATCCTCCCAATTTCTTAGATCATTTTTAATTTGGCTGTGTTAATTTCAGATAAGAGAAAGGATTGTATGACAGAGGGAGCGAATGCAATACAACAAGATGTGAAGAAAGAGAGAGAAAACGCGCCTCAGTGTGCTCGCATGTTTACATGTGAGTTTCGCCTGCTCGGCAGTGCCATGCTCCATGTTGTGCAAGGCAGAGGTCCTGCCTTTGGTAGGGGGGAGAGACCAGAAAGAAAAAGAGCAACATGGAGGAAGATATTTTGTTAAGCTTTTACTCATTTCTATGTTTCATCACACAATGAGAAACCTTACACTGCACCCAAGCAGACCTCCTCTTAATCATCTCATATCAAGACAAGACATGCAGTAGTTTAAAAAAAATGAAATTACGATGGTTGAAAAGGAAAATAAACTAAGACCTCCAGTTGGTGATAACTTAAACAACCACATATATAAAAAATGGTCAGTTTTTAAAAAAAGCATGATAAAATGTACTCCTTGTTTTAATTACTTATGAAAGCTTGATAAGTAGATACTTCTGTTGTCTTTTCAGTTATCCTAATTGTATGTACTTTAAATTGTACCTTTATTTTACCAGGGATATTCCCATTGAGATTTAGAATCTCTTTGTGGTAGATTTTAAGGGGTAAAGAAGGAATTTATGGGGGAAGAAGAACTTTTAATATGTGGCTTGAAATATGGTTTTACAAAAGGTGCCACAGAGGACTTTGGATTAGGTTGTTTTGGGTTAGGAGGACCAGATGGCCGGAGCAACAGATAAGATGAAACTTTGAGAGAGTTTCCAGACTTCCCGGAGAGTAAAGAACCAGGACAATCTTTGAGACACTCTTAATGTTGGTTTATGGTAACCCATGTTTGTTCCTCCCTCTTTGTTCTATGAACTGGGTGCTTTGCCCTGTAGTGTTAAGTGCTGGTATGACTGTGTCCATGCATACATGCTGTCCCAAATCTTCTCTGTTAACAGACCTGTGTTTCACTAAACTTATATACTCAAGTAAGGACAACTGAGGCTCTTCGAGTTATTCTTCTATTCATCAAAGTGAAGATTGACATCAGTGCAAGTTTTCTTCATCAAAATTGGTGTCGGCAGCAGTGTTCCAAAAGAGACAGACACTGGGTAAGTAAAAGAGAATTTCTTTCTTTTCCTTTATCTTACACTGTGTGCTACTGGATGGAATCAAAAAGAAATTGTGTATTTTCTGCATTTGGTGATGAGCATCTAAAGCCAGAATACAGTCTCTAGGACCAGTATAAAGTCAAAATTGTGTGAATTTACGGTTTAGTAAGCTGTTTTGGCCACCAATTTAATGGAGCTCTGAGATAATAACTTCACCCTCTTCAGGTACTTTTAAGCACAAACTCAGTCTGAGAGAGAGACTGGGCGAAAAGAAATGAGGGAGGGGGAAGGAAAATGTGTGAAGTGAGGATCCCCACAACTTGCCAGTTATCGGTCTGACAATCTATGTAAATTTAAATCTGAAAAAGCCTCAAGATGCGTTCAAAATTATGTGTTGCCTTTTGTCATTCACAATGCTTTTAATCAAACACTCTTCAGGAATTTGGGAGACTACCTCACAATCACATCTGTTTCATGTTTTGATTCTCATGTTTCACTTCTGATTTGCAAGTAAAATAATGCCTCTATATTGGGGTTCCAACAGTACTAAGACTCAAGAGCAGAAACAATTTAAGGGGAGTACTTACTTTTAAAAATGCCCAAGAATTCAATATAGTATTCCTCTTCCTCTGATATTATTACAAACAGAAGAGTATTTTGTCTTGCCTCTCATGGTACAGAGTAAACAACCAGTTGGTGGAACGCACCACTACGTTTCTAGTTAGAAACATAGTGGTGCGTGCTTTTTTGCTTTAAAATTTGTTTGCTGGCTGTCGCTGCAGTGGAGTTTATGGAGTTTCCTGCTTTAGTGATGTTTCATTCTGCTGTTGAAGCAGCCACTGTTTTAATTTCTGTACCCAAATAATGTTTATTGCACCTGCTGTGGTGTCTACAGCCGTTTTACTGGTTGTTGCTCATTTTTGTGTCATTGACTCAGATTTGGTACTGTTCTGTTTAATAGCAGTAAGGCTTTATTGAGAAAGGAGAAAATGTTCGTCTATAGAAAAGGAATTTGTTGTGTAACCAATGTATGCGTTGATTATCATTATCATCGCAGAAACGTTAACTTAGCAGTACATTTTACATGACCTACTTCTTGCCTTTTTTTGAGTGCAATTTTACACTGGTAATGTTATTTTTGTTTTTTTGAATAAAATATTCTAGTGCTTGCTCCATGATGGACACAGGTGAAAGTCATGACCACAATAAGGCATCGTGTTCAGATCATCAAATGTGAAAATAAGTACCAATGTTAGTGCCTAAACTTGCAAATCCCCAGTTGATTAAAAGTTCCAAAATAAAGTTGATAAAAACAAACTATCCTGGCCAGAGGTAAAATCAAGCCTCCGTTATGTTATATTCTTGGGCGATTAACAGCCTCATCCAAGCACAGTAAATTAATACAATTTGAAAATACTCCATTACAAGTAGAAGTCTTGAACTCAAAATTCCTCAAGAGTGAAAAATATAACATTAACCTCTGAAATGTAGCTGAGTAGACGTACACATACGTAAAATGACAAATGATAAATAATCAAAAACTCCTATTACCCCACGCATGAGAAACATTTTTACAAAAAAGTAATAACATAATACTTTATTCATTTTGTCTGGCTTTCTTTTATGTCTTGTAATTCATTTCAACTGTCTGTGGTTGGCTGACCCCGCAGAAAGAATGACAGTGCTGAGTAGGCCTTCTCAAAAACCTCTAAAGATATGCATTTCTGGTTTCAGTGTAGTTTGTTGCATTTTTCAGATCACCACTGTTGTGTAGGATGGATAAGTAATAACCGATGGTTGCATGTGTTCTGTTCTTTGATACTCAAGTTTTGAGTAAACCTATACTGCCACTAAACCAAATAATTTGACATTTTGGGAAATACGCTTTTTCAGGTGAAACAGTGATCAACATGTTGTAGAGCTGTAGCGCTGTTATGTTACATTCTCGGGTAATTAATAGCCTTATCCCAGGACAGAAAACAAATACAACAATGTGAAAATACATTGCAATCAAAATTCCACAGAAGTAAAAAGTACAACATTAACCTCTGAAACCACATTGAGTAGAAGTATACATGTACCTACTGTATATCAAATTGCTTAAAGTGTGGCAAAACTATATTTACTTTCAAAGTCACTTTATGTGGAGGAGCTTATATTTTAAATGGAGAATTGTTTTATGGAAAGCCCCTAACAAACTAAGCACTGTAGGAAAGGTATAAAATGTACAAATAGAGTGTGACTTTGCTCTGATGCATGCAGAACTGACAATCACTCAGTCATAGATGGAGTGTAAACAATCCAAGGGAGGAGTAATGTCTGTGGGTTTGTTATGACACAGTCTTCTCAGTTCTAGATCACAAGGTTAAAAAAATGTTGGACTGACTTAAAAACAAAACTGCTACTACAGAGCAAATCCAGAGCTGACACCATTTTAGCCAAAGTGAACAAAGATGACCACAGATCAGATTAAAATGGCCAAAAATATGTATTAAATTTTGTATAAATAACTAAGTGGTTTGAAACAATAATTCTTCAGAAAGATCCAAACGTAAACCATCAGAAATCAAAGCATACAACACATTTCTACTATACATTTCATTGAACAAAAAAATTTTAATAAAGATTTTTGCTCAACATTGATATCAGCCTGAAATTTCTTTTATACAGGCTCAATCAATGGAATTCTAGCAACAACCATACAAATTGTTAATCATTCACAAGGACAGCTACACTATTAACCAACATTACAACTGAATTAGACAATTTAATTTAGGCTTGAAACAGAGTACTGATTTTTGCCTGTTAATATTCATTGAACCTTATCTATGCATGAATTAAACATGGCGTGAGAGAACTTGGGTATAGGGCCTAGTTAACTGCAATGTTATACAGTCACTTGACATGTATGTTTTTTTATCTTTGTGGAGCCCCTCTGTTGTCCTTTAAGCCATTTGTGAGGAAAGAAGGGTTGCTTCCTTTCATCTGGTACACCGCTTTTCTCAAGGACTTCAAGTCTGACCTGTGAAAATGTCTTTATCTGCAAAGTGAAATTGTTGATTTTAAAGATAGTTACTAGACAATAGGCAATTCATTACAGTTTGTAGTGCTTCACATAGTTCCAATTTTATGCATCCTGTCCCCTTTGCAGAAAAGCATCCCCAAAGAATGATGTTTCCACCTCCATGCTTCACAGTTGGGATGGTTTTCTTGGGATTGTACTCATCCTTCTTCCTCCAAACGCAGTGAGTGGAGTTTAAACCATAAAGCTCTATTTCTGTCTCAGACCACATGACCTCCCATTCCTCCTCTGGATCATCCAGATGGTCACTGGCAAACTTCAGCCAGGCTTGGACATGCGCTGGCTTGAGCAGGGGGACCTTGCTTGCGCTGCAGAATTTTAATACCTTATTAAGCAGTATGTTCTCTTATGGAACAAGGTGACACCTGCCTCTAGCCAGTAATACATTTATATCTCTGAAGTTAACAAACCTGGAGAATGGTGTTTTGTTCAACATCTGGAAACCTGTGTGCATATCCAATATTGACTGATGTTAATTCTAAATTTTTAAACAGTGGTGCATTAGCATTAATTACATGATTGACTATTTACTTCACCTGTCACACCTTGCTCTTCTTTATCTGAAAACAGCCATGCACTCTGCACTGTCAGTGACTCCCCCTTGTAGAAAGATCATAGTGCTCCCATTCCACTGGAAGTCTGGACCAGGGTCTCCTTCACCTAGTTCTGTGTGACCTGCTAAAGATGTCTGGATCTGTGCTAGTAGTCTTCTGGCTGAGGCTAGATGTAGATCAACTGTGCTAGTACTGGCTGATGCTGGAGTCTCTGCTGGCTGATCCAGCATCTACTCTACTAACCAACTTAAGCATAGCCCCTGTAAATTATAGATAACAAAACTTGCTTTATATGAATGTTATCAGCTCCATCAGGCCCATTCACACTGGCTCCCCCAGGTTTCCTTTAATATATTTTCAAAGGTAAAATACTAGTTATACTAAGACTCAACTGAATATTTTATGTTTATTATTTACTGGGAGATGTGCATCCATATTGCCCAGTCTGCCCCGCTAATCAACATTGTAATAGTCAATGTGAATCCAGTGCTTTCTATCTTGCATTACTCCAGAGTTGTAACCAAACCTTGAACGAGATAATCATCACATCCACGAACTGACTGGTCCATACTGTTGCACAAGTTTCATTCATGCACGCACGCACGCACGTATGAGCGCTTGTTCACGCGCGACAGGGTTATCTTTTCCCAGCTGCAGTTTATAAACACTATTGCCTAATGGCGTTTATCAAATGTCACAGTCTGGCAAGCAACCAGAACACAGACGGAGATGAGCAGCCCAGCTGGGTTAGAAAGACAGACAGAAGAGAGATTCACTGCAGCGGCACCCTAACATCACTTTTATCTGCTGACAACAGACTGAGAGGAGAGAACACAAGTTTACCTGACTGCTGTTCACGAAAGTCACTCTCATTGAGTTTTTTCTCGTCTTGCGTGCAGGACAGTCTCTCTTCATCCTGTAATTAACATTGTAAACACTCGATACCAACTTTGGCCCTTTTGACAACGTTAACCAGTACTGTATTATTGCTAACTTGACCGGATGTTGCAGATGTGTTGTTGCTAACTTAATTGTGGAGCCCTACACATCCAAAAACGACGCCAAGGGTTCACACGTGGAAACAACAGCTCATGGTGGTAACTCTTTCATTTGTTTTGGTCTGTTTAGTTAAGGTCTGTTTAGTTGACCTCTTTTATGGGGCCAGAACTTTCAATTTTGTTTCGTAAATGAGTTGTGTTTTGTAAATAAAAATGTTTTGGAAACTTACTTTCTGACTTCTCATGCCTGACAGCTTGGTTCCTCACATTGGCCATTTTATTGGAGCACAGCACATGAATACAGGGGTACGTGCCTCAGTAAAAAGGGTCTAGCAACACCTATGACCCGGACCTTTCTAGCGCAGCCCCACAAGATTCCCATAGTAATTTTGCATAGGTCTGTCAAACAAGACAGACATACCCTACACAGCAATTTTAATGATTTGATAAAGACTCAGGCCAAAATCCCAACTTCAGTTCAGTTTTAACCCAGACCATGTTGTGAGTCAGGACAGAACGGCGGACCCAAACGCAACGCTCAGGATTAAACAGGTGAGTGAACCTGGGGAAAAGGCAGACAGACAGGGTTAATTACAGGGAAACAGATATTCTGCAGGATTCTAAGAAGCTTGAGTAATGCAGTGACACCAGGTCAGGAGCAACAATGGTCAAGCAGAGATTGTGTGGAGAACCGGGGTTGATATACTGGCGGAGATGGAGTTGATTGCTGGCAGATGTGGCAGGCAGAGGAGGCTGCTGATGAGGTGTAGGTATGGATTGTCAGCTAGGCTCAGGAGCGAGGAGAGAGAGGAAGAACACAAGCAGGGGGAGCAGAGGAAGCACAGAGAGGCAGGCAAAACACAGGGGAAAACAGAATGGTAGGAAAAAAGGAAAAATAAACAGGACACTCACTGTCGGCCGGGCTGCCACCACAACAGACTAGACTCTTTTAGATGGATCTTCTCAGTGTAAGATCCCTCTCTAACAAAACTTTGATTTAGATCTTGTTTTTAACAGAATCCTTTTTACATCCTAGTGTTCACAGTTGGCTTGCTGAATGGTGCCCCCCAGATTAGGACACCCTAGGGAGAGTGATCGTGGTGGTGTCCTTGTTATTGTCTATAGGAAGCATTTCAAATGCAACCAAATTGCTTTTAATGATTTTTCTTCCTTCGAAGTACTCCTGGCCCACTCCCAGTCATAAATGCCTGACTGAAGATGCATTTTTGTTGAATATTTTTGAATTAAGTTTGTTTGTTTGTCTTGATTGCGGCAAAAAAAATAAGACCACATCTGTTTCTTCAGAGCCAAGCCCCCACCGTTGCCAAGAGGTTCTCGTTTCTTGCAGCAAATAGCACCAGCATGGACACTGTTGCCTATTTGAATTGTCGTTTATTCCAGCTCCTTCGTATCCCCTTAATAGGGCCCGCCACCAGGGGTGGGTAGTAACTTGTCACAAGTAACACAAATGAGTTTTAATGAGTTGAGTTTGCTTTGTTTTTTAAGAATGCTAACTTTACTTTACATGAGTATTTTTGTGAGTCAGCTACTTTTGCGTTTGCCCCATTTGCATTTTTCCCTTCATTACAACTAGTCTATTATCTGCTGTGCATTTTGCTTTATTAACCAAAATGAGATGTCATCCAAGCTGCGTTATACAGACCTTGTACTCTTCTGCCAGATATTGAGCTAGGCAGATGTAAACATTTTGGAGACTATTCTCCTGTTTGATTGTTCTACTAATGTAACTCAAATCCAATAACTGTACACTGTACCACTGGTGACAGGAGGATTATCGGAAAAAATGTTTCAAAGCACCTTCTTACTGCTGAGAAAACAATAGCACCTTAAAAACCTCCAGTCTGGCTTCTGTTAGCATCACAGCACTGAGACAGCCCTGCTCAGTCACTAATGACTTTTTAATAAATGCTGATGCAGGCATGTGCTCAATCCTGGTGCTGCAGGACTTGCTGCCTTTGACACAAGTGACCATGTCATTCTTTTAGATAGACTGAGGCACTGGGTGGGCAAATCTGGAACGGCAATAAATTGTTTTTCCTCTGTATGCTAAGCCTTATACAACCTTGATTATTGCAACAGCCTTTTCTCTTGTCCTAATCAAAAAACGACTACAGACTGCACAGGGTTCAGCTCCTCTGCTTTTAACCAGAACCAAGAGGCATGACCTCATCACACCTCTTGATGACCCTGGCAGGGGTCTCCTGTCCAGTCCAGGCTGAAATCAAAAGGGAACAGAGCTTTTGTTGTCAGGGCCCTGGAAACGGCCTGCTCGAGGAAATAAGACTGTCAGAGTCAGTGTCTTCTTTAAAGTGTCTTCTAAAAATGCATTTATGCATAAAAGCATATCTTGATTTTATTTGAACCACCTGTTAATTTTAATGTCTTCTTTCTTGTTTTATCTCTTTTTCCTGCCTGTTTTAATGTTTTGTTTGTTTTTATTTTTATTTCATTTTTGGCCCTCATGTATTTAATCAATAACTTTATTTCATCCTTGTCTCCGTGCCTCTGTCAAGCACTTTGCACTTGTAAGTCCTCTATAAATAAAGTTTATTATTTATTATAATGTGGTTTGAAACCAACAACGATCAGTTCCAGAGAGACTTAATTTGAGACTGAATGGGTGAATCATCCAGTGGTGAGAAGAGCCAACCTAAACCTATTAGTCAGAGATGCAACTCCTCGTTGAGATGATTGTACTGTGCTGTGTCAAACTCTGACTGGCTCATGCAGGACACTAAATGCATCTGGTGGCACTGTAATGTGTGTATGAGAGACTATGAGAGCACACAGACACACACTACGCATCCACAAACAACACGGTTAGGTCAAAATTAAGTCTGTAGAATCACACGACTGATACACATGCAGCAACATAAACCGGTTTTCCACATCGTAGAATACTTGACAATGTTGCCAGACTATTCTGTCATAAACAATTAAACAATTATTTATATTTAATGACCTGATGAAGGTATGTCTTCTTAGAAAGCATGCAAGCTCTATTCTCCTCCTGAAATGACTGTGAGAAATGACTTTTTGACTGAAAGAGGTCACTGAGCATTGCTCACCAAGCTGTCAGTCTTGGGTCACGTACTTTTGGAACATTTGGAAAATCCTCCTTCAGACAGTGATGCTGCCACATGCAGTGCCGCCTCCACACACAACAAAGCAGAGATGTGCTCCTTCTTAGACATGGATCCACTGAAATGGACAGAGCTTCAGATCAGATGGACCTTGAGAGAGTTGCCAGACTTCCCCTGATAGTAAAGAATTCAGAAACCTTTGAGACACTCATGATGTGTGTTTAACATGGTGGCCCATGTTTTTTCCTTGATCTTTGTTATAAGAACAAGATGCTTTGCCCTGTATCTAAAGTTTTGGTATGACTCTGTCCATGCATACATGCTCTAACAAGGCTTCTCTGTTAACAGATTTGTGTTCTATCAAACTCAAGTAAGGACAACTGAGGCTGAAGACGTTATTCATCAAAGTGAAGATCAACATCAATTTTCTTCATCACTCTTTCACAAGGGAGTCCAGGACAAGACAGCAGCAAAAAGTTTCACATATAGTTACACAAACAGTCCCAGGAATTGCCACACTGAAATTGTTTAGTGTAAACTGCATGTGTGTGATGCTGCGTCTTGACTGAGTCATCTGGTGTGTGCATTTTTATGATTAAAATATTTAAAAAATCTGTTAAATATGTCATTATGTCTGTGGTCTCCAATGTTTTTAAAATCAGTTATAATTTGAATATCCTCTAGTGTGTGCCAGGTCTTAAACACACACACACACACACACACACACACACGCTCACAATGAGTCTGGTTTCTTCAAGCAGAGAAGCATAAGTGCCTTGCTGATGGGCACGATTGTGGTTGCAGAGGTAAGAGGGAAACAAACTCACTTTCCCTGTCTCAAATTTCTCCAAATAGCTCTGTGGTTTGAAACCAACAACGATCAGTTCCAGAGAGACTTAATTTGAGACTGAATGGGTGAATCATCCAGTGGTGAAAAGAGCTGACACTGTTATAAACCTAAACCTATTAGTCAGAGGATGCAACTCCTTGTTGAGATGATTGTACTGTGCTGTGTCAAACTCTGACTGGTTCATGCAGGACACTAAATGCATCTGGTGGCACTGTAATGTGTGTATGAGAGACTATGAGAGCACACAGACACACAGCCAAACGCTACGCATCCACAAACAACACGGTTAGGTCAAAATTAAGTCTGTAAAGAATCTGAAAAAAATCGAAATATTATATTGTGCAATGGCATTAGAAGTTCTCAATTAAACTTGTTTCTAGATGCTCACCTTTTCCAAAAGAGCTAAAGCAGAGCCATCAGCTCATGAGTTTAAATCACGCTCCACTGCCCCACACTCCCCTCGACTAGTTCATGCCTCCAACCCTCTGCTGTGGCGGATTGCTGACACTAAGCAGATGTGTAGTGTTTTATCTTGTCGTGACATGGCGCTACTGAAGGAAACCCTTATGGACTCAGAGGTTCAGTCTGAATTTGATTTTCAGTACTACTTCATATCTCATTAACTGCATGATTGTGTGTAATGGTAATATAATAATATGATGACAAAATGTCTGAGCTTTGACATTGAGCAGATGCCTATTGGAGATAGGCTTTACTACTAAGTTTCCTCAATGTCTGGCCTACAGGAAATCAGATTCAGCCTGGGTGTTTTTGGTTAGAATCACACAACTGATAAATATGCAGCAACATAAACCTGTTTTCCACATCATAGAATACTTAACAATGTTGCCAGACTATTCAGTCATAGAAAATTAAACAAGCTATGTGTTACCAACATCACCTTAAAACAAAATGCAATTCTTGAGCTTTTCAAAAATGTGTGCGACTTTACTTTTTGGTCAATAGGGCCTAAAACATTTTCAGCATCATAAAACAATGGTTGACTGTGATAAAGTGTGAGTGTTGAGACAAAGCAGGTGAGTTTTATCTTGTCATGCTATAGTGCTACCAAAGTCAACTCCTCAGTATTTTCAGAGGGCCCTGCCTGCCTGCTGCCCTCCTTCGTGGCCCGTGACGGCTCTAACAGTTTCCTGATTAACAGCAGCTGTCAGTGCAATGGGGGGGATGACCGGACCCATTATTAACTATTAACTCTTTCTTGTGGGGCCCTTTAGAGAGAACTGGAATGCTTTAAAATTGCATATCATTATTACATGCAAATTAGCGTGTCGAGCTTGCGTCAGAAGTGCATGGTCTTTGTGTGTGCTGTCATACTATAGGTGTATAAAGTACTGTATGTTTAAATATATGTGAATGTAACACCACTAAAACCTATGGTTTTTGTTTGTTATTACTACCAAACAATAATAAGGCATACCAAAATCAAATATGGACTATGGCCTGTGTGTGACCCATGTAAACCTTTTAAGCTGATGTGTGTGTCTGGTGGGATTCATCATGTTAAGCCTCAGTCTGTTGTTTCAGGCTGATCTGCTGTATTAAAGTGCATGTGTGAAGTATTGCTTACCATTACAGAGGAGAGGACACAGACAGCATGTCAGCTATGAGGGAAATGCTGCCAAAAGCCTTGTTCACCTTGTACCCCCAAAGTATCAGATTGACAATTACACACACAATACACGTAGGCTCAATTGTGTCAATAAATAGCAGCCACTACTTTCATTCTAATTACATAGACAATATTTGTTGCATGTGTCATTGTCTATCTCTGTCACTTTCTCCGTTCTCCCTGCACTCCCTCCTTCCCCTCTGTGTGGTCTGGTCCAGCAATGAGAGTATGGCTGGAGATTCCCGAAGGCAGGCTGATTCCGCACTCTGTCACCCAGCAATGAGAGGTGATCCTGGGATTAGAGCTCTGTTGGTTCAGGCTGGGTCACTGGAGACAGACTGGGGCTGGCAAAGAGATGGCAGAGGGAGGGAGGGAAAATAAAGTGTATTGAAGAAGTATTGAATAGAATAGAATAGAATAGAATACCACTTTATTGTCCAGCCAAGGCTGGAAAATTGTCTTTGGTCTCACCAGACCTCTAAAAACATGAACATACATAAACATACCAACATCATATCACATCGGTGCCGTACATCTCTCCGCCCATCACATCACATCACATCATTGCAGTTTATCCCATACACACCGTGTACAATATACTTTCTGTACAAAAAAATACCAATTAGTGCAGTTTATTCATTAAATTTATTGCACTAGGTATAAAAGATCGCTTATAGATATTCCTGTTTGCCAGAGGTACTATCGTCGTCCTGAAGGGAGCAGCTCAAACTCAGTATGGAGGGGGTGCTTATTGTCACCAATGATGCTCAGGGCCTTTCTGTGTAGAGCTGTACTGTGAAGGTCATCCAGTGACTTTTGTTGCCGGCCTATTACCTTTCCTGCTGTTTTGACTATCCTGGCCAACTTATTTTTGTTTCTAAGTGTTAAACGACCGAACCAGACCGAAATATTAAAAACGAGAATACTCTCTATCAGGCTGACATACACTTTCTCCAGGATGTTTTGACTGACACCAAACTCCTTCAGTTTCCTAATTAAAAACATTCTCTGCCCGGCTTTTTTACAGATGCAATCAGTATTTTTAGTGAAACTCAATTTGTCATCCACGTGTGTACCAAGTATGAAGGTGAGGACTGTTTAAAACTGGGATGAGAGGGAGAAAAAGGAGACAATATGCAAACGGATAACAGAAGTGAGGTTGTCTTGTTGAGAAATCAAAGGGGGTTGATTTGATTTGTTATCATGACTTTACCTCAAGCAGAAGTCACTTTGCAAGTGTACACTGTCGTATCCGCGTGTAGTTTGTCCTTCCATCTGTAATTTGACAGTAAATGGCAAATGATAAGCCAATACTGTGAGACTTTTAAAGGAAAATTCCGCCTTTAGATTTTGTGATTGGCATTGCTTAATCCATTCCAAGACTTGGGTAGTTAGTGTAATTATTTGTCTCTTGCATGAGAGGTAACCTTTACCACATTACCCTTTGCTTTAGTTAATCCTTTCCTACATTTCCCACAGTGCTTTTCTTCATCCCTGGGGTGAAAGGAATTTCACAACACTGACAGTACGTTTGTAACAGTGAGTCGCTTCTGTGAAAATGTTGCAAATGTGGCTCTTTCATAAATGTGACTGTTGAGCATCAGTGAAATTAGAGAGTCTTGACAGAGTTTGTGTAGCTTTACCATGGATACTGTTGCAAGGACTTCATGTTTGTAAGTGTCTGTAAATGTCAGTGTAGCCCAGGGAATACATACAAATACAACAACATATGTTAAAAACCTCAGGACAGTACAGTAGTATCAGATTTTAGATTAGGTTCCTCTTTTACTGATCAGTCTCTGAATTGCCTTTGCCAAAATCACACATTTTAATGTCTGCTGCAAATTGCCTGTTTTTCCCACAGGGATTATTAACCTTTCATTTGACTTTTTGGCGCTTTTTAACCTGGCTGATACTCAAACTGAGTATTTACACTCAGCATGGGTTCAAAAGATCATCTGAAAAGAACAGAAATGTGCTTTACTAATGTTAAAAAAGACCCAACACAGGAAGTTCTGTGATCTATTCTGGACTGAACGTTTGAGACCCGGTGCTGTATGACATTGATAATGAGGCTAAAAGAAGAGAAGTGAATCAAATCAGCCTGCACGGGACCTCCTCTTTCCACAGATGCAGGATCCTGTTCTGTTTCAGACAGAGGTCATTGTCACCCCCACTGAGAGGTGGAGGGATGAAGGGAGGGATGAAGTGACCGGAGGACAGGACCCTTCAGCGCCTCTTTGGTTTGACAATGGGTTGCTTCTGTGGTGGGTTTGTTTTCAGAGGGTGTGTGTGTGTGTGTGTGTGTGTGTGTGTGTGTGTGTGTGTGTGTGTGTGTGTGTGTGTGTGTGCAGGACAGAGGGAGGAAGAATTGTTACCTCATGGAAGCACTATCCTTCACACGCACGCACACGCACACAAATGCACAGACACACACAGATCCCTTCTCTCGCTCTGTGCTTTGACCTTGTACTGACCTGAGCCAGTATCTGGTTCACCTGTCCACAGGGGATGTCCTCATCCTGCTGTCAAACCATCACTCTCTGTCCAACCATTATTAGCTTTGTCGCTGCAGACTGGACAGAGAAATGGGATCAGCTATTGCTACATCTGTGAAATAACATAAATAGGGTAAGTCTAACGGGTCGTCTACTGATCACAGGATAATGTGTTCGAGCCACACCTCCTGCTGTCCTCATGTCGACGCGTCCTTGGACAAGCCACTATCTGCTCCTCAGCCATTCCTTGTTGCCAGTACCAAGCCTGGATAAATGGGGAGGGTTGCGTCAAGAAGGGCATCAGGTGTAAATATCAAACCAAATCAAATATGCTGATCATCAAATCGGGTTGGGCACGGGGTGGCATGGCCCTTTTGCTCCTTCCTGTAGGCAAAGTATAAGATATGTGATCAAGTAAATGCAGAAATTGTGTGAGTGAATATGTACTGAACAAGGTATTCAGGTATTCTATTATTTTATTTGTCCACAACCTGAAGAAAACAGTAATGTAAGTAAGTAATGCACACCTGTAAAGTTAATGCTTTCGACAATTGTTTCAGAATGAGAACGTTGTTTTTTTGTCATAATTGCAGTAAAACATCTTGAGTTGAGAAAGTGATGTTCAAGTGAATCCTAAAATCAAGAAAGAT